ATCACATAAATCTCGGTGCGCTGCCACGAAGCGGCATTAACCGATTCATCTGTAGTAATAAATCGATGATGAGGAGCAGTGAGGAGGAATGGAGATGGGAGAAGAGGTGAGTCGGCTGGGGCTGAGTGTATTTCGTGTGCTAGGGCAACATATCCCTAAGGAAAAAGGCAGTGATGGGGCTAAATTTAGTGTTGTCGTCAATTAGTTCTATATCTAGGAGTGAGTTAAAATTGCTGGTGATACAGGTTTTCTGAAGAGTGAATGCAAATAAAATACAACTGAGTGTGATTTTTTTGCAAAATTTATTGGTAGATAAATATGGGTTTCATATAGTTTTTTTTCACAATTTTTGTAATATAATTTACAAGTGCTCTCACGAGCAACATATTTTATGATAAAACAACAAAAGGGCAAAAAATAAACATTGAATAGTAATATCTAATTTTCTTCTATTTTTCACATCACAAATACAATCAAACACTTATGAAGGCAACTGTGCAGATCTATTCTGATATTCACTGGGTGACAAGTTACTTGCGATCACAATTTAACTTAAGAAACTACATTCATTTTATGCATAACTACCAATAATGCAGGGATTAGAATTTTGATAGTGAAAACATGAAATGAATAATGGTACATTGCTTGTCTTGGCATCATTAACTGTATATAAATTGGTTTGGTTAATGAAGTTTAGGTAACTGTTAATCATTACAATACAAATACTTCCTATAGATACATTTTCTATTCCAATACTTTAATGTATATTTGCAGAGCTGATCATATTTTACACTTTGCTGACTGGTGACGAGTTAACTCGTCTTTTAATGCTCAAATGACGAGTTAACTTGTCATCGGTCAACAATGTTTGGGTGTGATATCAATATTTAGAATGTTTTACTTTATTCATTTACAAAATGATAGCCGGTGACATGACATAGTTTATGTATAAAATTGCCGATTAACAAAGTGTTTAGTGAATGATGAATTGTAAAAGTTTTTTTCCAATGTTAGTAAAATTTATACTTGAATATTTGATTTTCGTTATAACAAATTTGAACATTTGTTCACATATAGTCGACGCAGATAGAAGCCCTGGGAATTACATATCAGTGTTATTATGTGTTAGCATATTTTTTTTTAATTTTCCGGTTGCTTTAAAGCTTTTGCTAGCGTTTTTCGCTATTAATACGAGTTTTTTTTTTTTTACAAAAAAAGCTAGACGCCTAGCTAAACTAGCAGCAACCAAAAAAGGCTAATCTAGCAGCAACGCTTTTGCCTCGGAATGGTTGAAAATCGAACGAATTATAAATACATTTTTCTTCAAATAAATTTGAAAAGGCATTTTAATTTTATACTTATCGGGATGTCCAGACGATTTGATGGGTGCAGCAATCGCATTCCAATGCTTGAGCTAATTTTGAATCGAGCTTCGAATAGATTTTCTTGTGCTCGAAACTGATCGTACCTCAACTGTTAGTATTTAACCCTAATATATAAACATGGCTCCAGCAGGCCTTGGAAATTTTAAAAAGTGGAACAAAAAATAAGACAAATTTCGATATTTTTTATTGCTGGGTTGTCACCTTGGCACTAAAAATTGTTTTCCAAAGAAAGTATATTTGCATAAAAATTGCCTCTTGCTAATTCACCTAACATTAAAGTGGTAGATTAAAAAATATATATATTCTAGCATTAACTTAAATTTACTGTCACTACTGAAATTTTTCAAGGACCGCTGGAACGTTGAATTAATGTTACTTCTACCACTTTCTTTTTTGTACAACGAAAACGTTCTTCAAAATAAATTTAGGCTCATCTTATTTCGACGCTCCACCAATCTTGAAATCCCTAAAATACTGCCCCAATCTGAAAAATTTTTTGTTTTTAAATACATTTTTAACAGTATTTCAGTTGTCTTTTAGAAATAACAAACATTCAAAAACTCCACAGATGGATAATCTGGTCTTAGATATTCGTTTAAGTTATTAATACAGTGAGGTCAACATCATTGTAAATTAAATTTCTGAAATCCAAAATTAAATATTAAAGTATAATTGTTTCTACCATTTCATATGTTTGTGAGAAATCTCTTTCCAAAAACGAGGAGGAATTTTCAAGTATGTACTGGGTTAAATCAAAAATGATATGCATTGGTACCACTTCAAAAATATGAAAACTAATCACGTGGTAATGCTGACACCTTCAAAATACATTATCTTTCTATCAATCGTTTTAATGTTACCCATGGAAATTACGTACATTTTACATCTTTCATACCTTTATTGCATTACATATTAATAACATTACATTTTGTAAATAGTTTAAAAATGCTTAAAGATAATATTTTGCATGCTGCTAATACAGAAAAAGAAGACACATTTTAACACACACCTTTTAAATTTCCAGTCCATGCACTTTAATTAAATGTTTAAAGGAAGCTCTATGATACATATTTGCCTTTAGCATCCAGCGTTATCTGTTTCTTTTTAGTAGCCTAGCATAGTGAAGAAATAATTTGTTACAATGATACTGGTGAAAATACCTTTTCCACTGAGAGCTATTATTATGCTACGGAGAATTTGGCAAGATTTATCATCTGTCTCCATTCATAAATAAAAATATACAGTAGTATTATTTTATTAGATTCGGACATACCAGGACCAAATACAATAGAATGTTAATTTTTCAATCCCAACTAAAACAAGACACGTTTTTCTACAAAATCAAAAATATTTTGCTATTTTTTTGTGATTTGAGACATTGTTTCTTCATACTTATTTGGTCTTGAGAAGCAATAAAAAATTTCGCGCAATCACATTATAAAAAATAATCATTTTAATGCCAGAGAGAATTTAATTCAGTACAGCGTTTCTACCACCATAACCTTATTTTATAATGTTCCACGTTAACCCTTTTTTTTTATCAAACCACTTGTAATGTGTGATTTGAGAATTTCATTTTTCCTGTAACAGCCACCCCATAGACTGCTAAACTCAAATTGTCTTTTATTTTATCTTTTTATACTATTTCATGATGTATGGGATATGAGCCTTCTGTGCGGCCCAGGTGCCCAATTTTTTATAAATAAAGAAAGAAAGAAAGAAAAAATTTCATTTTTGAAACATTGGAACGAAATGTTGCTGAAGGAAAGTATTCCCCTTTATGTGGCATTCAATGAATTTTGAAGAGATGCCAACTTTCTTCATTTATTCCTCTTTCTTCCTCTAAATATTTTATTCTTTGTTTAGAAAGTTTGAAATAAAAATGATTTTGCCCACCCCTTCTTATAGAAACAATTAAAGCGCTTTATATCGTATGTGACTTAGTATCGGCTATCATATGATCTTCCACTTACTTTATTGTATCACCACCACTTACTTGATAGTATCCAGAGTTTTATGATGAGCAGGAAAAAAGAATCTTTGCGAGGCCTTAAACGATTTTCTTTTACTTTGTTCCAACTAATTCATGATTAAAACAACTTCCAGACAGAGTTACACACGATGGAAAGTTTATAGCTCTTAATAGCCTATAAACATGAGGTTTTAAATCATGACATTTAAAGTTTTTGCAAACTATCTTTACCAGCGCCAGTAAACAGAAATCTTATAAAACTTTTTTCGCAAGTTAAGAACAAGGCAATTCCTTCGACCATAATTCTATCGGTTTAAAATATTTATCAGTAGAGGTAGACAAATTCCTTTAAATCTAATTTAATAAAATATAAGGAAATTTTTGCAACCAGTGGGAAGGGCTTCTGAAACGAAGTAAATTCTGTAGATATTGAAGGGTATGCCTTAGACAAAGTTGGCCAACGTCCTCATGAAACTGAAAACTGATTGTAAAATTTCTACATGTATAACTGAAATCTAAGCTTTACCTTTCCAAATTAATATTCTCAGAACAGGAATTCCACACAGATTGAAATAATAGAAGAAAAATAATTGGACAGGTAAAGAATTGAGTTTTCGAATGTCATTTCAGAAATTTTGCTACTAGATTTTTAGTTTTGTCTTAAGCTCATAATTCAAAATTTACGACTATATTGGCATACCTTGGCTTTTAAAGTATTTTCAAAATGACCAAGATTCAACAGAATTTAATGTCTTATTTTGGAGGAAATTTTAATTCCTTTTATCCCAAAACAAAGCAGTTGGCATCCCTGATTTTGAGGAATTCAAAAGGAAAGGCATTCTGAGAAATTTATATCTTTATGAGGAATTTAATAATCTTTTCCTACTGTTTAAAACATATATATATATATATATATTTCTACTCTGTAATTGGGCTTTAAAAATTTGTTCGACCCAAATAAATTAATACAATTAAAGAGCTAAGTGATGAAGGTTTTAAGTGGCATTTATTTAATTTGTGTCGACCAGATTTATATTTCTGCGTGTCACTGTATTGTGTGGAGAAAAAAGAGTAAAGGTTAAGCCAAGCCTTTATTATTTTATTCGCAAGCTTCCGTTTAGCGAGATTAATAAATTCCCCTTACTCATTTAAATACCTACCGGTATCATAATGTTTGCATCCTGGGCGTTATAAAATGCTGCCAAAGGAAAGGCTTGATAAGGTTGTTGTCAACTGTTTGTTATAAAATGTACCAAAAACCGTACCATAAGGTTCTACCAGTTCAAAAGTATTCAGAGACTTCCCTTACAAACATTCTCTAAAATTCAATAACTAGAAAAAATAAATAAGGTTGTATAGGAAAAGTCATTCTCGCAACAACCCATTGTGGGCCATGGGGGTCCATGGAGTTTAAAGTTCCACAATTTCGCGCCTAACGGCTTGATAGGTGTCAGTTAGGTCATCAATATGCATCAGTCGCCTATACTTTACAGACGAGCTGGTACCCATCGATCTGAAGCTGGGTGAACTTTAAAGTCAGGGATTGAACCTCAGTTCTTTACAATGAGAGTCCAAGACCTTAATCGCGGCCATCGCAACTCAATGTTGAATCTAAGTAAACCAGACTAAAATAAGATATTTCTCTGATGATACTTCGAATTGTTTTTCAATAAAATCACTTAAAACTTCCTTTCACTAAGCTCTTCAATTTAAGTATTCAGTGTAGAAAATGTGGATCTAATCACATATTTGGTCATTAACCTGTCTCATGCAATGTTAAAAGAACATAATAAGGTATGATGGGTTACATGAATAGCATAAAAATTATATATATTAAAGTCTCATCTTCGACATTTGTCATACGTAATCCAGGAGATGGATCTTTGAAAGAGATTCACAGAATGCTTTTTCAGCAAGAGCATGCATGCATTTTGAACACATGGTGCTTATTGTTGGAGCAAAGAAGTTAAGAGGTTTCACAAAGTGACGGGTTAGACATTTCATTTCCTCAAGTGCTCGAGCGAGAAGAAGTGCAAATGAACAGTGAGACAAGTTCAGCCGCGTGATTTTCATCATAATACTTGAATGAAAAGAAAGTTGTAACTTTTAACTACAGCATTGATCCTGAACTCGGCTCTTCTACAGCTTTGGAAACTGCAAGAAAAAGAATATTTTAAAATAGTATAGAAATTAATCAACAAAAAAATTAAACAGAAATAAAATGAAAAATCAATTAAAAATATAATTTATTATTTTAATCAAGGTGAAGCATTCTCAACACAGACTATGTTGATGTTGTAACTTTTGCCACTTGCCCATACCAGCAAGCCTGCTTGGGAATCAAGCGAATTTTTAACGTATTTTTTTTTCAGTTGTGCCATCTATGGCAAAAAATATGGCTTCAGTCTCACACACAAGTCACAGTCCGTTTTATAGAGGGAACCCAACCATAAACCTTTCATTCATAAACTGATCGTAATTTTGACTTGAACCAGAGAACGATCAATCTCAACTTAAGTAACCCTAAAAGCATTAATTTGTTATGGGAATTTGGAGGACTTTGTGACTCCGACAGATTTAACGTACACCATTCACCATTTAATACACGGAGATTCTTTGGCCGATGGAATTCGAACTCACGTTCTCACTAACAGGAAAGCAACGTCTTACAAATCAGGCTATCCCGGCTTCGACACAGTCTTTTTGTCGGTCAAGGTTGTACTATTTCTCCAACCTAATAAGAATCCATCAAAGCCGGATAGTTATCATCTACTGATCAGTAAGAGTAACTTAGTTCAATAGGAAAATTATTTGAAAAAGTTATTTATGCTAGAAACCAAACCTACACCTATTATCCAACGAACAACCTATTATCCCTATTACCCAACGAGATTTAGACCAGAATTAGATTCCACATAACAACTTATCAGAATAATAGATTTCGTCGGCAAAGGCATGCACCTAAAAATAACTTATAACTAAATTATTAGAAAAATAACTAAAGCAAGATGATTCGTACGAAACATAGACCTCTATGAAGATCTTAAAACAGAAAGATTCGTCAAGCAGTTCACCAAATTAAATGAGAAATGTTTTAACCAAAGTTCTAAAACGCAATACAGCAAACTGCAGAAATATTATTCAGCACTCGAAACTTAGAAGAAGACAAATACATCAGACCAATTGAGGCACACTATCTCTGTGATATTACATAATCAAATCAAATTTATGCATTATACCCATCCACTGTTACATCCATTTTTGACTGCCCTGCCATTTTAAGATCCATGGCTCAGCTTGGGGAATTCTCCCCCCTTTGACATCGAGAGTATGTATTCCGACAACATCAAGGAGTTAGCCGGCTGTGTTTTGCACACTCATGGATATCTACAGCTCTCCCCATGGACACGACACCAACCAACCATTACAACTAGCTTTAAAGACAAAGCAAAAAGAAAAATATCCTCGCCAATATGAATTTTTTTTTCATTTTTATGTAATTTATCTACCTCACTGACTGTTACAGACATGATGTATGGGATGTTTGGCCCAAGTATCCAGTTCCATTTGATAAGTGAACAGAAGTTATAAAGAACTTTTCAATGTTTCTGAGCTTTATGCAAGTATGCCACAAGCGACTAAAAATATGAAAAGTGGTAGAAACTCAATTCCCTTTTATTTATTTATTATCTCTATTATTATTCTATCGTAACCATCTTTATGACTTAACGTTTCAAATCATTCATTTTAAAAACATTCTTCGAATTAATATTTTTAAAAATAGTAAACTTTAAAACATTGGTAATTTTTTAGACTTATAATAAAATCTTGAATTCCAGCTATCACAACTTTTAAAATTTTTTGTCGCTAGTGGCAACCTGGCATAAGGGAAATATTTTTCTAGTGGTAACTAAGTTAATGCATGATTTATTGTTTTGTAAATTTGATTTAAAGTAATATTTCACACCACATTTAAATTATTCTAAAGTTAATATCTAACGCCACCTTGTACCTAGTATCTCGTTGTGAGGCTTTTATACCCTTTAACACCGGGTGTTGCGCCTGAAAGCGGGACGGAAAAGAGAAAATACTGGTGGAAGAACTATTTCAATATTAGAAAATATTCGGGAAGAGTTAATCTATTCTCAACAATAGCAATTCACTGTAAGGAAATTTATCACGACGAAGAAGCAATTCAATATAAAAATTGCATCCGTTAAAAATAATTGGTAGTTATGGATTTTTAATATTCCCGGAAAAAAACTAAAAAATGAAATTTATTTGTTACCAGTTTTAACTCCGGTGCACCGCCCGATGAGACAAACTAGCGTGACCCACCGTTGGGTCACCCAGGCATGAACATGTTAATATGTAATCAAAATTATCAAAAATTTTGAAAGTTTTGATTTTTAATTGCTCATCTCTCTATAAAGTATTTTGCAATAATTGGTAGTTCTGTAGAGGCCATGTTTGACACAGATAGCCAGCTCTATCTGTCAAGGGAAGGTTACAGTCATGATTTAAGTCTAGAGAATTCTAATTTATTTGTTTAAAAAATATCTCATAACTGCAAAAATTGTTACGATTTTCCCAATTTTTTTTTTATATCTAACGTGGTTGCAAAAGTTTTGCATTCATGCCTGATTCCTGTTTACATTAATTTTGAATTACATTAATTTTGATTACGAATATTTTTTAATTGTTTAAATATACGTAAATAAGGCCTGCTAGTTATCTTTTTAAATGATGGTGAAAAGTAGAATAAGTATTTATCTGCAATATCACTTCAATAATCATTTTACTACCATTAGGAAAAAACTTTTTTAACAAAATCGTAAAACTTGACAGGTACGATATCTGTTTCAGTTCACTACCATCAGAAAAATCATTTACCAAGAATTTTATGTGTTGAAAGAGAACGAATAAGTTGTAAATTTTAATGCTTTTTGAATGAAACAATTCATTTTTTATATTACTATAGTAAACGTCAACTATTAAAGATCTTTAGAAACAACTTTTTAGGAACTATGACATGATCATAAATTTATTTTTTCTTTAAAGATAGAGAGATCTTTTAGCATATATATTAATGAAAAAAGATAACACGCCCATTAGTTTAAAAGGAACACTTTGAGCCTATTAGAAAAATAGACATGAAAAGTTAATTGAATTTTCTGATTAAAAGCAGCTTTGAGAACCAAAACATTTATACTAATTTGCAAGCAAATATTAGTTCCAAGGGTTTAGCTTTTTTATTTCTCCAAATTTATGTAGGATAGTAAGACATACAGAAAATGATTCTTGTAACAGGGTTTTCTCGACCTAGAAAAAGTAAGTGAGTGGTAGCTTATTAATAGTAGTGGTAGCTTATAGAATTATTAATATAGTGGTATCTTATAGAATTATTAATATAGTGGTAACCTATAGAATTATTAATATAGTGGTAGCTTATTGAATTACCAAATTGTTCTCGAGTTATTTTCGTACCCATATATATTTCCTTTAAATTTAATATTTATTGATAGCTTGAAACTTCTAAATGTATTTCACTTTTACTGCCACTTTAAAAAATTTTCCGGGGCTTGGGAGCCCGGTAGAATAACATTTTATTCTTTATTTACAAAAGATATCAGTGCAGTAGGCAAGTTTTACGCAATCAAAGTATGTCATACACATAAGAACAAATAAAATGCATGATTAAGAGAAAGTAGATTTTTTATTTCCAACTAGTAGCAGAACAGTAAATAAATTTATGTAAATTTATTATTTTATGAAAATGTTAGGTAAGCTATTTAAACTTCCCACATGACAACAATTTGAAGAAAAAATTACCTACCAATGATCTTATGTGTGTTATTGCATATTAACCTACATGTTAATTATATATTTCTAAAATAAGTATAGTTCACGTAAAAAAAGTATAAATTCGCAACAAAATTCTTACCACTTATGTTGACAAATGTGATTCCCCAGTAAATGCTCCATATCCAACCAACAATAATCGGTGTTAGCAATAGTTGTAGTAAAGCAGCTAAAAGGTTATACATCAAAGGTGTCTGCCTGCCTGGATGTTCTGTAGTACAACCACAAAATACTGTAAATGCGCTTATTAAAGTTCCTGAAAATGATAAAAGTACTTTAGTCAAAGATTATAACTAAATTAAACTTACAATATTAAGCAGTGTGCAAAAAAAAAAAAAAAAAAAAAAAAAANAAAAAAAAAAAAGAGAGAGAGAATACTTTGAATAGCTGTTGATAGGATCTTAACGTATACATTAATCTACTATTATTCCTTCGTTAGGATAGAAAGTTTTATTTGCAGATTTTTACCGACTCGTTGTTGCTCAGTCGTACTTTCAAGACAGGTAGAATGTTTATTAAAACGGCCAGTGTTGCCAGATTTCTAAGGCTTTTGTGAAAACTTTCTTCGAAAGGTTACTAAGTTTATGTTTAGGTGTATGAATCTTTGTTTTGTAAATTCGATTTAAGGATATTTTCCACATCGCTTCATGTAAATGACTCAAAACTTCACATAAACGACACTTTGTTCCATCACACAGTGGGCCAGCATCCAAGGTTTTGTGGCCAAAATTAGTATTTCGCTAAAATTTGTTTCAAAATTTGGGGGGTTTTATTTAGGGTTTTTATGTGTAGGTTAATAATTCATAGTTGAAATTTTGAAATACACTAAAAATACCAACAAAAAAAAATGGCGGTAGAAATATGACGAGCAAAATAGAATATATATAGTACGTTTAAATAATTAAATAAAGCAATGAAAATATAACAATTTTCGTAATCTTATATTAAAAATGAAAAGTTAATTATATTTCGGAAGTAATTTTACAAAATAACGCGAAAACATGAAAAAAAAACATAATTTTTGTTTTTTGGTATATTTAGTCCACCTTTGCAATATGGGCAAAATGGGGCAGGTTTTTTCGAAAGAAGGAACATCAAAGAAGACAACAAAATTTTTTTTAGCTAATTACCTCGTGGAACTTTTTGGAGATAAGTTTCAAAAGTGATTCAAACATTGTAAAATGTCAAATGATAGGATATAAACTATAAGTTTGTCAAGAGTTTTAACTAATCCAACAAATTGAAAAATTGTACTAAAATTTCAGATTAATTACTCTGATAAAAATGTAACAGAAAGGTGAAATTCCTATATGTATTTCTGAAATATAAATTTAAAGGTTACATTTAAAAAAAAAAATTAACATATTTTTCACTACATTGTACTCTCGTCGGTCCAAAAAATAAATTTTAATGTTTGGAATGATTATGAATACTTAATTTGGGAGATATTAAAACTGCCTACACATATTTTAGTTAAAAATTTAATTTTGACTTTTTGCCAAAGCTCATGGTCTTCTGGCCCATAGTGCATCACCCTCTTGGTGAGACTTTTAAAATTTGAGCAAAATTGACAACATCTCTGAAAACATCAGTTTTTAACAGTCTAAATGTATGAAATCACTAACGAAAAGCGTAGTTGTTGGTAGCCCTGCAAAAGATAAATAGTGTCATTAACATGATTTCATTATTCACTTTTATCTTTTGTTAACCCAATCGTGTCTTTTGACGATTGAGTCTCGTCATGCATTTAATTTGAATAAATAAAAAGTGGAAGCTAAAATATTTAGCAATCTGTTTGTATCAGATAGAGATATTACATTAATCAAATCGCATATTTTAAATGACAATGCATTTAGAGAAGGTATCAGGTTGTGTTTGGTAACAAACTAACTAAAAATACTTTTGATGATTATTGATTAAAAACTTCCAACTAGTTTTTAATTCAAATGTTTCCTCATACTTTGGAATTTAAATAAATTTGACTCCAAAAGGTTACACAAATAAATTGTACCTGGGGTAGATTTTATTCTTGATTTGAAACTATGCACGCATATTCGTTTTTATTAGTTTAAAGTAGCATTATTCTTTATTTTTAGTAGTTTATATTCAAGTATACTCAGTTCAGGGTAAAATGATATCGGAAGTAAATATAATGGTCTGTTGTTTATTGCCAACATTGTCAACTTCTACCAGTTCGTCGCTCAGTTGGTGATTCTTCTTACTTTTACTCTTGTTATAATAATACATTATTATTGTATTACATTGCATTATTATTATTATTATTACATTATTTACGGCTATGGGCCTAATAATTTTCAAAAGTGGAAATAAAAGCGAATCAAATATCGATACCTTTATGCATTTGTAAAATCACCTACATAATTTTTCATTGAATATATATCTGTAGCGATTCAATATANTTTATTTGCAATTTAGTACAAAACTTTTGATAGAAAAATTATATTTTAATTTTTACTTGCTAACTCCGTAATATTTTCTTTTATCGTTTAAAAATGGCTCATAGTCGTAATATAACAATAGACAACATTTGAAAGTTGATTATTTTTCATCATAAAAGGTAAATCAGTAATGCATATTGCTATATTAGTTTATTGTGTCCTATTCCACTGTGCAATATGAGATAAAATGCTTAAAAGGACTTCATATCAGAGATAAAAATTATAAAATTTGTGGAAAAATTCATAAATTCACATTTGAGTGCTGCAAAATTTAATAAAAAATATTCTGCTCGAATTTCACTCGATAAAAAAAAACTTGTAACATTTATTTACAGACTTTTAAAAGCCGTTGTAGATGCGAAAGGAAACTACTAAATGTTAATTTAATGAAAAATTAGAATATTTACTAATAGGAGGAGATTTTTTTGAAAGTGTAAGATGACTTCTGTGAGATGAAGTTTTTGTTACTTAGAGATAATTGATTTTTTTAAAAATAAACTCTTGCTTTGTTTTTAAAATATTCCATACAGTTTTGCTAAGAATAGAATATATTTTTTATTATTAAATATCCGTTCTAAAAAATTAATTTTAATTAATGGACAGTCTTATTTCATTGAAAGTTGAACACTTCAGTGAATCACTGCATTTACACTTCAATATAAGACCTTTTTACACTGTATTTTATCTAAACAGTGCTCTTTATAAAATTCATTGATCATATTTTCTTCAAGACAATATCTCAAGTGAAATGCTTAAATAATGCATTATTATTTTAGTTACATTATTATTTTAAAAGATTCAGTATAAAAAAATGAATGTTGCAAATGCAAAATTGTCCTTAGCATTATTATTAATAGAATTAGCATTATTATTTTAAGAGATTCAGTATAAAAAATGAATGTTGCAAATGCAAAATTGTCAAATTTCTTGTTGCATACTCTATAGAAAAAAAATAAAATTCTTTTAATTTTATTCTTTTTTTTTCTAGTTTGAAATTAAAATATTCAAAGAATTCTAATCTTAACACATGGTTTTTCAGTTTAGCAGAGTTCATTGTTTTTTGCTTTTACGAGAAACTTGTATTTTACAGTACAGAATAAAAAATAAAAAAAATTTCGTTTTCATTCTTCTTAATAAACACATATGAGTTAAAAAAAAAAAGTTATATTTCATGTTCCTTTAACATGTTTCCTACACATTCCTTAGTCTTTGTCAGCTTTTTAGGGTCAAAGGAGAAAACTTTCGATACATCATCCCTGGAATGCAAGCAACATTTACGAACTTTCGACATTGTGAATACTATACAATTCGAATTTTGAATCAAATATTTACCAACAAATCAATAAAATTAAATGTTAACATACAGTTGGTTCTTAAAAAAACTTTTTTTAGTTAAAATGTTATAAAAGGTTAAAATGAAATCGAGAAAATTGGCATTAATGCAACAATTGTAACGATTTGTCAATAAACATTGCTGTTAGCGATTGTAAAAAAAATGTGTGATTGGTTGGTTTGCTGAGAAAAAATAATTCACAAATTTCTTTTAATGGGAATACTAAAGCTTTCAGAAAAAGAGTGCAATATAACATCTATTATTATTATTAAATTATAACCAACTAACTTTTGGAGAATTTTATAAAGTTAAAAATGCAAAAACATTTTGTCAAAGAGGAAAAAAATTATCACGAAAGCATTGGAACAAACTTAAGCAATAAATGGATTCAGCCCAAGCCATCTAGTTTGACAGAGCTGTAATGGAGCAAATTTTGATGCAATGATGATGTATTGTTAAGTTGATGATATTTCAACTGCTTGAAGATACATTTCCGTCTAAAAAAGTGGGTATAATGGATGAAATAATTTGAATTGAGAAAATTAGTAAATAATTTAAATTAGTGAAATTAAAAAAAATTCCAGCTTTTCTTTAAAATTCTCTGATTTTTCCAGGTTTTTTCCAGTATAAGAAAAATTCCCTGATAATACCAGGTTTTCAAGGTTTTCCAGGTGGGTGGCCACCCTGATAAAACTGTATAAATAAAACTATTTTCGTGTGTTCTATATTGCATTAATTTCTTCAAACCATTTTAGTAACGATAATAATGCAAAAAAATTAAAAATTTACTCGAATTACGTTCTTTCAATAATTAAATTTCACGAAAATTCCAAATTCGATGATTTTTGAGAAGTCTTGAGATAACTAACTTTTAAGATACAGTTTATCCGACGAATCTGATATTAGAAATAGGAATTTGTTTTTTTTAAAGAGAAGTAGTATTGAACAGAGCCACTTAAAGATATTTTTGTTTGATATTCTTGTCAGAAATAGACATCCTGGGTTTTGTCAGAAAAATAAAGATCTTTCAGCCATTATTATCTGGCCACAAATAGAAGTGTGTTTTATAGGAGGTGCAACTGAAATTTAGGCACACCTTGTCGAGATTATAATTCTATGAAATCACAGAAAAAATACAAATCCGAGTTACAAATGTTGCCATTTTGTGAAAAGAAACTTTTTTGAAATATAGAACAGTATTCATGCATTTACTTTCAGCCGTTAGATCCCGCCATTTAATTTTTTTCTCCAATGCCCACCTTGGGAATGACTTTTTGTCAATTCAGCCATATGAAGGGCATATTTGTTGGCCACTCTTTCAGGAGAACCATATTTGGTGGGCCAACGTCGCTCCCACAGTAAAGACAGATAGAACAAAGAATGAAAGAATATTCATGCCTTGCTCGTAATTCGAACCCAGAAGGCCAGTTCCCCGACCCCTCCACTGTCCGATCGGCTCATTTT